CAAAATTGAAGACAATAAAACAAATCAATAATGTAAATAAAACAAATAAACTGAGTAAATGAATGAACAAGCATAACAGAATATACATAGTGTCCTAATTTAGGTAATCTTTTCACAAAAGGGACAGTATGGCTCTATCCTAAAGTTGGACTTTACGGCTCATTATATGCTGGGTTAAGATTTGCATGTCTAAAGGTTCCCAGACTATTCCTCACATCATCGTCCGTTATAGACTAGTAAGGCTCCCCGATCCTCACCCATTACAGGCTACTAACGGAACGGGTTCAATCTGAGTGAAAGTGTTTCGCTAGCAAATGCGGAGGTTATCACCTCACGAGAGCGTAGCTACTTCACTTCCTCCTAAAAGGACGGAGCCCGGGTATAGAGCTCATGTATGCAAGTGAATATGCAAAGTGTGTGCAAGGTAATGTATTAATCATGAATAAATCAAAAACCAAAATAAAAAATGAAGTAATAACTAGCACATAATTTATTTCATTTATTAACATGACTGTTTTCAGAAAAAAAAAATTAAAATAAAAGAAATTAAATTAAATATCAAATAAAATCAATTAAATCCAACCATTGTCAATAGCGCATAATTAAAATTTTGGCCTGACTCTCAAATAATTCCCCAGTGGAGTCGCCAAGCTGTCGTAACGGTTTTGAGACCGCCAGACGTAAAAACGAGTTGTTTTAAAATTGAGAAAAATAAAAAAAGAGGGAGTCGCCACCAATCTTTATTAGGGTGTGATTGGCCACCCAAAAGTTTATCTTTTTAATAAAACTATAAAAACGGGTTGTTTAAAGTTTATCAAAAAGATATATTTCGGTCTACGAAAAATCAGGTTGGGTCCGGGAGTCGGTTACGCGTGGGGAAGGATTAGCACCCCCACAACGTCCATAAATTGGTACCATTCAACTATGCGTTATTTTCAATGTCGGATAAAAATGGTTTTAATTTGAAATTTAACATTAATTTCCTTTATTTAAAAAAAATATTCTTTTTTTTTGCTAAAATTTTTATTTAGGAATATTGAGAAAATCTTTAAGTTAAAGAATTATTTTAAAATTCTCCAACATCTAGGCAGAATTTAAAGTAACTCTTTTCCCTTAAAATTTAACACAACAATCCTTAAAATGAAATAACACTCTTTACAGAAAATTGTTGGTGACTCTCCAACATCTAGGCAGAGTACCATGAGTAAATTAAAGAGAGAATAATGCAGACAATTATTGATGATAATACGATAACGTATGTATGCTAATGAATGTCATGTAAAATGAGATGCAATTTAAGAGTTGGATTCTTAAATATAATGAGACCACCCCGACTCTCCAACATCTAGGCAGAGCTTAGGTGCGACTGTTTATATTTAAGATCCCAATTTTATTATACTTTTTTTTATTAATTTTATTATTAATAAAATGTAATTTAAGAGTTGGATTCTTAAATATAATGAGACCACCCCGACTCTCCAACATCTAGGCAGAGCTTAGGTGCGACTGTTTATATTTAAAATCTCAATTTTATTATACTTTTTATTTATTAATCTTATTATTAATATGAATTATGAACTCGTGTGAAAAGACTTAATGAAGTAAAATTTCCTAAATACCCCATCATCTAGGCGGCATTCGGGAACAAATTGCTTCCAATAGAATTTTCACACGTGTCCTTAGGATTTTTCGGACTTTGGACTTCAAGGATTTTGGATTTCGAGCGGTTTTGAATTTAATGGATTTTGAATTTTTAAGGGTTTTAGAAACCTAGGATTAAGAAATAGCGCTTAAGGTTTCATTTTTTTAAGAAAATACGAACATCTCTAAAAATCCCCAACATCTAGGCGAATTTTTGAAGCAAGTTCGATTTTAATAATTTTGAAAATTAATTAAAAATTTCTTATGTTTATTTATTATTAACAATAATTCCCCAACATCTAGGCAGAATTATTGTTCTAGAAAAATATTTTTATTCCCTCCAACATCTAGGCAGGGAAAATTATTATTATTATTTTAAAGCATTTTAATATATTTTAATTATTATTTGTTTTTAATTTTATTATTATTAAAACGATTAAACAATTATTCTAACAAATTTATAAATTTATCATGCAAAAATATAAAAATATATTTAAAATAACAAAAAATAATAATAATAATAAAAAAAATTAGAAAAAAAATTTTTTTTACCTAAACCGGACCGGTCAACGGTCCGATCAACGCTGGTCCGGGCGGTCTGACCGGTTCGACGGTTGGATCGGCGGTTCGGGCTATCTGACCGGTTCGGCGGTCGGATCGGCGGTCCGGGCGATCTGACCGGTTCAGTCCGGTCCACTGCGGTTCGTATGAACCGGTTCAAGGCTGGCTGGAACGGGTCGTTGGGTCGGGTTGCGCGGATCTCGGGTCGGGTTCGGGTCAACGCGCGGATCCTTCTTTGGTTAAAACGGCGTCGTTTTGGGTTTTATTGAAACGACGTCGTTTTGGCCAATGATAATTTATATAAAAGTCAAAATTATTTTTTTTTCGTCATTTTTTTCGATCTTCAGAAAAAAAAAAGAAGCCCTTTTTTTTTTCTTCTCTCTTCTTCTTCAACCGCACGCCGGCCGGCCGTCGGTACCGCCGTCGTTCGCCGTCGCCGGTCGTCGTCTCCGATGGTCGGAAAAACCCCAAAATTCTCCCACGAACTCTTCTCGACCCCCTGAGCACAGATCTGACCTCCTTTTCACCGAAAACGGCCTTGATTCGCGTAGATCGGGTTTTGAAGTTTTCGGTTTTTCTTCTCTCTTTTTTTTTCGGTGAAACTGATGATTTCTTGGCTTTTGCAGGTGGCTCGGCGCTGAGGTTCCTCGCCTACGGCGAGGACTGTGTTATTTTTTTGGTTTTTGTTTTCGTTTCTGTAGATTTTTTTTTTTTTTTTGGCCGTTCTTTTTTGGTCCGCCCCCTCTTTTCCCTCTGGTTTGCAAGCTCTATTTATAGAGCTTGTTTGAGATTCAAATTTCAGATTTTCTGGGATTCGAAAATCATACCTACCGTCCGTGATTGGTGGCTTGTCAGAAGGCCGGTTGGGTAGTTGGTCGGACCAGTTCGGCGCCGTACAACCCTTGACTTTTATCTTATTTTTATTTTTTTTTGTTTGTTTTGTTTTTTTTGTTTTTTTGTTTGTTTGTTTAAATATTATTATTAAAAATCAAACGGTAAACCCGGGACAAAACCGGTGTCTACAATAGAAAGGGAAAACTTAAGAAAAAAGTTTTCAAAATTTCTACCAATTGCAATATCGTGTGTAATTGACAATGCATCATTGATCCATATTTGAAAACTCATCAGCAACCTTCCCAATAGTTTTCTCTAAATCCTTGTTCATACTTGTATTTTCTCTACTTGTTTTCAGTTTTGTATCTTTGCAACTTGTAAGTATGAATAAGGTTGTAGTCTTTTATTAATAAAGTTCTAAATTTATATAGTGGATCTGTAAAAGTTATTAATAAAGGAAATAGGAAACAAAATAGAGATTAAAACACACAAATATGATTACGCTCATTCTAGAATCAACAGAGTTTAAACTATTAATATTTTGCAAAAGCAAAAACATCAGTAAATCACTTTTTCTACTAAGTTCAACTAAACCATCTTATTTTTATGATATATTCTCATGAAATAAAGGCAAAAAACAACAAAGTTGAGTATATATACTGTCCAAATCACATAAGATCAATCTAGTCATAATACAAAAGTTAAAATGATTAAAAAGCAAACAAAGCGCAATATTTCAGTAAGACATTACTTTGGTATAATTTATAAATAAATAGAGAAGGAAACCAAAATAAAACAGTTATCTTACAGGCACATGCCCCAGAAAAAAAGTCATCTATAAATAACAGGAGAACCCCTAACTTTGAAGAAATTTAATAGCATTCAAAATCTAATCATTCTTTATAAATTCAGATATTTAAACATTCTGTTTAGCAATTTCTGACCCAACATCTTTCTTATATCTTATTCGCTACAAATGAGTTTCTAAAATCAGAATCATTTAAATATTCTGTTTAGTAACTTCTGACCTACCATCTTTGTTCAACCTCGTTTGCTACTAATTAGTTTCTAAAATTAAAATCATTTGTTTATCTTAAATATATAATTTTATTCTTTTATCTTTACTTTTCATGTGGTTCTAATTTCTCACATGTATCAACACCTAAAACTTCTATTTTTTTCCTATAAGAAACAACATGTATATATGAGTTACCTTCAAAGTAAAGAAAAGTATAAAATATAATGTCAAAAAAATTTCACAAAAAAGATATTGACTCCTCACCCAAAAGTTACATCTTTTATAATTCCATGAATTAACTACAGCATAATCTCAATCCGAGTGAGTCAGTAATAAGAAACTTCTTAAGCTTTCTAATAAACAAAAAACATAATTAAGAAAGTTGTCAAATGCAAGGGAGCCGTTAAAACCAAACATGTGTTCCTTCTTTCCCTATTTTTATGTGGAAATAAGAGTAGCAAAAGATTTTGGTACCATTCTATATCGTCGGATCAATAAAAATTATTATGAAAGGCAGAAGAAACAATCCTTCAACAAAGAAAAAAAATATCATTTATGGATTATGGATTAACTTAGCAATAAGAAAAAATAATGGATTATGAATTAGGGTAAACTGCTATTGTCTCAAAAAGTCCAATACACATACATTGGAGGCAATTCTAATTGATCCATTATTCAAAAACCGAACATATATAGTAATAAAAGTTAACTTAGCAATACTTCCCAAACTATTAAAATGAACAATTATGGATTTATCTTAAACAATTGCCTAGATGTACTAATAAGCTTTTGTCTGGTTATATATGCAACAAATTATTGTAAGAAAATAAGTTAAATGTTTCAGAATACTTTACCCTTTTCAGAGTGTGAGCAAAGTTGCAAAGAGACAATTGACATATGTCAAAATAAGAGGTCAAAAGAAAATGTATAAGAGTTCAAAAAGCAACTAACACCATTCATATCTCCTGCACTGCCACGTTAGATTTTGACCAACCTTGTCCAAGAACAATGTCCACGCTTCTGCTCCAGGAAGCGGTTCCATTTTTATTACTTGACAATCCATGCGTCGACATACATCCAATGATCGGGATGTTAGAACTAATTTACTCCCATTACTTGCAGTAGGCTCAGGAATTACAACTTCCTCTAGAGAAAAATTGTCCAACACATCATCTAAGATTAACACATACCTTCCCTTTTGAGCCAGTATTTCAGGTAACATCCCTTCTCTTATTGTTTCATCTTCATCTTCTGAAATAACAGCACTAATTGCCTGTGCAATCTTATTCTGTAGTTCAATAACACCACATTTCCTTGATACAGTGATCCATACAACAATATTAAACTGGTTTGTGTCTTTTAAGAGTTCATTGTTGACAAGCTTGATGACACTTGTTTTCCCAACTCCTGGCATTCCATAAATTCCGATCTTTTGAACCTCATTATTCATCAGGTATCCCAAAATTTCATTCCTTTTAAGTGCTGCTGTTTCTCCAACTAAACTTGGTATCGGCGACACCTGTCCAATTAGCGAAGGATCATCAACAACCAACCATCAGAAAATCTTACCCGTTTACAAAAATGTTCTTCAACTTCTTCTATCTTCTTACAAACATTGTTTCTTAAGGAATCCAACAGGAGTAAAAGCTGCTAGGTCCAAGTGCTTCTGATTCATAGATTCTGTATTTTCAACTTTACCCTTTTAACCATATTTCCAACCACAGTTTAATTCTTTCTTGAACTTGTCTTTCTTGGATACAGTTCGCTTTAATTCGTGGATACCGTGGCTTCTTCTTCTGGACCACTTAGTTGCTCTCTTTTTCTCATTTCAGATTCATTTACATTCTGATCAAGGACCTGTAGGGAAATTTCCAGATGTTTTCCTAATAAAAACCCCATTATAGTATTTCCAGCTTCAAAAACTTTCCTACTCGTCAGTAAAGTCCCTGCATAACACCCAATATAAGGCATTAGAATGCTTTGTCGTAAGAAATAAACTTTAAAATAACTTAGTTATGTAAACAGATATTTTAAGAAGCCTACTATCGGAAAAAACAAAAAAAAGTTGGCCATTTGCTCAGAAATTTAGTATGATTTCTGATTATTACCTCAATCTTTTGTTACTTTTGGGAACAAATGCTTCATTTTCTTATTACTAGTTAAAAATAATTTTGCATAACGTAATTTAAAGAGTACTACTCATAAACCCCAGGCCAACGGTGCAAAAAATAGTAAAAATAACAAAAAGAACAGTGTCAAAGAAGTCAATAATAGTAAACATTCATAACCTAAATTTCCACATTTCCACAAGATATTTTTTTAATGATATACCCATTTTAAGAATCTGATTTTGGATAGAGATATAAAGGTATGCCTGGTTTCTTGAGGAGAATTCTGCAAAAGAATTTGAAATTTACACATCAATCTTCATTTTTAAACTGATTGTAACAACAAATTCCCAAAGTAGAACCCGTTTCAATAATGTTCCAGCAACTTCAGTTTATTCTGCATATGTTTGTTGACTTAAGTTCCCCATCTAAACATTTAATTCTAAAAGATTACATGGGTTTTTCGGTTCATAATTAATTGTTTGATCAAAATATTCATGCATCATGAGCATGAAGAGACCAAAAAATTAAAGCATATGAATAATATAAAAACAAGTTAATAACCCAATCAAGAACAATCAATGTCAAGACTCAAGTCAACATGTAAGTAAAAGTAAGCAAGTAATAACACAGCAGAGCAGAAAAACATTTCATGAACAAGCATGAATGTTCTCACAATTCACAACAGTAAAAAAAAAAAAAACAGGTAGAATTGGAAATTAAAATTACCTGATACTTGAAGAAGCTAATAAAAAGAAGCAAATTCCCTTGCCAACAGTAGAACCTAGATAGAAGAGGTATGTATATTGTGGAGCAAAGAAATGGGAAAGAAGAAACACAAAGGAGGAGGGAAGATGCCATGGAAAGCTCAAATGAAAAGAAGAGATATGACCTTTTTTTATACCAGTCAACTTCATGGAAACTGTCATGAAGAAAAATTAAAGCAAATTGAAGTGTTGGGATGGATTCCACATTCCTTATTTGTTGATTTTTATGATATACTACAAATTTGGGCTCTTGCAGGGTCAAAGGTCAACTATTTTGATCCTCTTTTATTTTCGCTATCATGTCCATGTTTTTTTTTTTTTCTTCCCTATGGTTAGGAGTGTTTCATGGGGGAAAGCCCAAGTTGCTTAAGGTCAGTACAAAGGCCAGCCAATCTGCAACTTCCAAATTAAGTTTCATATAGTAATTTCCTTCTAGTAATTCCCTTAGGCTGTATATCATTTATATATAAAAGTATAAATTCTTAAATTATTAATAGTAATTGATCTAAATATTTGAATAAATTTTTAGATTAATAAATTTATCCTTAAATATATATAACTTTTATTAATATATTTAAATTTAATTTAAATCAATTAAAATTAAAAATAAAGTTCATGTAAAATTAAACTAATTAAAATTTTAAAATTTTAATTCTAAAAGTGTTAAAAATAATTGCCTAAAATATCCTTGGTAAATGTTTTTATAAAATTTAGTTTAAATGATTTTTTTATTATTAAACTATTTTTTTATTATTAAACTAAAAAAATGTTAAAAGTGATTGATTAAAATGTTCTTAATAAAATTTTAATTTAAAATTTATTTATATTCAATTTAAGTTTTAAATTATTTCAAGTTTAAGTTGATTAATAAATGTTATTTTAGTTATACTTTTATAACACCAATAATAAATTTCAAAATAGAATGAAACCATAACACAATAAAAATTTAAGTGCAAAAATAATGAAGGCATTGATGATAATTTTAGATGAAAATCCTTATGCCTAGGTTTGGCAAAAATTAAAAGATTTTTTTTTTTTAAGGATTTTGAAATTCGAATTGTAATAATGTTAATATAAATCAATGAGTTTATAATTGGCAATTTGTTAATCAAGTTACTGCTATATAGGTTGAAAGAAATAATTCAAATATTTTATTTGAAAGAAATCATATCATAGTTCTAACTCATTTAGGAAAACATCATAATGTTAAACATTATTTTAATTGTTATAACCTTTTACAATATTCTTTACTCTTTTCAAATGAAGAAATTGATTGGCATTAAAATATCAAAAAAGCCATTTTGAATGATGGTAATAAAAATGAAGCAACAATTAAACATATACCATCTTTTCATTTACTAAAATAAATTTTTATGGAGAATGCAAAATATTCTTTACTTTTTTCCGAATGGAGAAGTTGATTGATATGAAAATATAAAAAAAATTATTTTGAATTACGGTAATAAGAATGAAAGAATAATTAAAAATATTTAATGTTTTCGTTTAGTAGAAATTTTTTTCATGGAGAATGTGAAAGTAATTATTATGAATTTAATATTTTTAAAATTATTGTCTATTTAATTTTTATAAATTTTATTTAGTAAATATCTTCTTATTACTTTTATCATATATATATATATATATATAACAAAATTGTTATTCATAATTGTATATTTAAAATAGAAATATAAGGCAAGGTTTATTACTTCCACTCATAACAAAATACTTCAAAAATTTCAATCTTTTATATACAATTATACTTTGCTAATAAGTATGAAAATATATACACTAATAATTCAATCAAATCATCAATAATATTTATCTTAATATGTACTATTTTACCATGAACTAAAAAATTTAAGGAAAATCTTAGAAATATTGACTTAATATATATTGTATATTTATTTAATTTAGTTTTAATACTTACATTAGTATAAAAAGTTATAATTTTAACTTCTTGTTACATGTTAAGTTATGGATAGTAAATTAAGAGCATTTACTCATTCTTTTTAAGCCATTTAAATTTGAACTTTTTTTTTCTTTCTTTACCTTACAAATTATATCATTTAACATACATTGTGATTACTTTTATATATATATATATATATATATATATATACACAAATCAATAATAATATAGTAGTAGATAATTAAAAACTTAGAATTAATAAATGAAAACTTAAATGTAGTTAGTATAACATAGTAGTAATCATCAATAACTTAGTACTAAATTAGTAATAACTTAATAGTAAATGAATAATAATTTAGTAATAAATAATTGATAAGTTTTTAGTAAATCAATAATATAATAATAATATATTATAATAGCTTAACGGTAAATCAATTATAATATAATTATAATTATATAATAATATAATACTAAATTAAGGATAACTTAACAAAAAATAAGAAATAACTTAATAGTTAATTATTGATAACTTAATAGTAATTCAATTATAACTTAATAGTAAATTAGTAATAATTTAATTGTAAATCAATTTTAATTTAATAGTAATTAATTGACATTTGTAAATCATAAATTATTTAGTAGTAAATCAATGATATATTAATAGTAAATAATGGATAATTTAGTAGTTAATTATTGAAAACTTAAAAGTAAATCAATATAATTTAATAGTAAATCATCTATAATATAGTAGTTAATTAGTCATAATAATAAATCATGCAAATTTAATATAAATAAATAATAACTCAATTGTGAATCATAAATAATTTAGTGGTAAATCAATGATAATTTTGTAATAAATAATAAAAAATTAAGTAATAAATCAATTATACGAATAGTAAATTATTGATAATTTAATAGTATTAATAATTTAGCAGTAGATCACTAATAACGTAAGAACAAATTCCTAATAACATAACTATAAATCAATGATAATTTAGTAGTAAATTAATTAATTATTGATAACATTTTAGTAAATCATTAGTAAATTAATAGTAAATCAATTATAATTTTATAATAAATTATCAATAACTTGATGGTAAATCACTAATAATTTAATAAAAATCATTCATAACTTAATGATAAATCTTTCATGATTTAATGGTAAATCATTCATAAATTAGAAATAAATCATTAATAATTTAATAATAAATTCTTGATAACTTGGTAGTTAATTGACAACTTAATTGTCAATCATTAATAGCTTTTTTATGCTTGAAATTATCAAGAACTGAAACTTGGTTAAACAAAAACGAAGTAAAAGCTTTCATTTTGACGAACAGGATAAACTTATTATAAATCTATTCAATAAAAATAATTAGTGAAAAATTCTAAATTTAAATAGAATAATAATGTTATTATAAAAAATTTTATCTCATATATTATTAGTGGACTTTTTAAATTTTAAATTTTATAATTTTAAATGCATAATAACATATTAGTAAATCAATGATAGGTTCAAAAAAAGAGTAATAATTTAGTTGTTAATCATTGATAACTTAATAATAAATCAATGATAACTTAATAGTAAATTAGTGATAACTTATAAGAAATCAATCTTAGTTTAGTAGTAATTAATTGATAAACTTAATAGTAAATTATAAATAATTTAGTAATAAATCAATGATAATTTAATAGTTAATTATTAAAATCTAAAAGAAAATCAATATAATTTAGTAGTTAATCATAAATAATATAATAGTTAAATAATTTAATAGTAAATTATGGATAATTTAAAATAAATTAGCAATAACTTGGTAATAAATCATGGTTAATTTAGTATAGATCTATGATGATTTTATAGTAAATAATAAAAAACTAGTAGTAAATCTATGATAATATAATAATAAATGCAAATAACATAATAATAAATCATTAATAATTTGTATATGTAAATTATGGATAATTTAGTAGTAAATTAGTTAATCATTAACAGCTTATAGTAAATTATTGATAAATTAATAGTATGTCAGTTTATAACTTTATAAAAAATCATTAATAATTTAGTAGTAAACTTTAATAATTTATAGTAAATCATTCATAACTTAGTAATAAATCATTCATAAATTAATATAAATCAATGCTAATTTAATAGTAAATCATTGATAATTTAGTAATATATTATTGATAGCTTAGTAGTAAATTGCTAATAATATAATAATAAAGCAATGATAACTTAACTATCAATCATTGATAAATTTTTTTAAAATTAAAGTTGTTAGGAATTAAACATTGGTTACTAGCTAAAATGAAATTAGAAATTTTATCTTAGGAGATTTGGATAAACTTACCACGAAACTATTCAATAAAAAAAATTGGTGAAAAAAGTTCTAAATTTGAATAGAACAATACTATTATTTTTTAAAAAATTATTTTATATTAGAATTGAATCTATACTTTCTTACAAGAATCTATTATTAAATATGTAATGACTCAAATTTTATCAACAATTACTGAGAGTATATCATAAGTTACTGAAAGTTAATTGCTAAAATTATATCAAGAGGTTATATCAAAATTTTATCAATGATTACAAAAATTATATCAAAAGTTACTAAAATTTTATTAAAAGTTATTAAAATCAAAATTTATCAAATTTTACTTATATTATACAAAAATCAAAATTATATAAAAAATTATTAAATTTTACTTACAATATGTCAAAATCAAATTTATATTATTATTATTATTTATCATTATTATCATAATATCAAAAAAATTATTTATTAAAATAAATTTTTAAATACAAAAATTGCCGCACATGTCAAAAATTAGTGTGTGTGTGTGTGTGTGTGTGTGTATATATTGCTCCCTTGGTGAAAATTAAAGCTTTACACGAAATAAAATATCTGTACTTCAAAAATTTTGCTCAAAGGAATACAATCAACAACTTTGCAGTAGAATTAAAGGTAACAGAATCTGGCATGTTTT